AGAAGCACAGGGAGAAAAAATATGGGATGTCGTCGAGAATGGTCCATTTATTCCTATAACCGTGATCAATGTTGTTGGCTCATAAAAGCCTAAAACTGCATGGGATGAAGATGATAAGAAAAACATCCTCTATGATAAAAAGGAAATCAATCTTCTTCAAGGTGCACTTAGCATGGATGAATTCTTCTGTGTCTCGGTATGCAAAACAGAGAAAGAAATATGGGATACCTTGGTACAAACTCATGAAGGAACTGTTGAATTTAAAAGATCAAGACTAAATACTTTGAGTAAAGAATACGAGTTATTTCAAATGCAGCCCAGAGAAACCATCCTTGACTTCCAAAAGTGATTCGTGCACTTAACAAATCATCTAAGTGCTCTTGTTAAAAATTTGACGAATGATGAACTAAATCTGAAAGTAATTAGATCCTTAACTAGGGAATGGCAACCAAAGGTAATGACAATTTCGGAAAAGAAAAGTCTTTCTTCAATGACTTCTGCAATGTTGTTTGGAAAACTTCAAGAATATGAAACCGAACTCGGAAGACTTAAAAAGCATGAAAATCAAGAAGAAGAAATAGATTTTGAAGAAACTTTCACTCCGGTTGCAAGGTTAGAAGATATTCTTCTTTTACTTGCCTATGCTTGTTCGTTAAATTTTCAGCTTTTCCAAATGGATGTCAAAAACGCATTCTTGAATGGATATATCAACGAAGAAGTCTATGTTAAGCAATCCCCGGGGTTCAAAGATTTCAAGAACCCATCTCATGTTTTTAAATTGAGAAAAGATCTCTATGGTTTGAAAAAAGAACCAAGGGCATCGTAGGATCGGCTAAGTAATTTCTTATGCGAAAAAGGCTTTGAAAAAGGTAAAGTTGACAAGACTTTGTTTACCAAGAAAATAAAAGGTGGCGACAGTATACCCCCCTAATCTTGGCAATTTGGGTAATCATACCCCTCATAGAAATACCACCACAGGTTGCACAAGCCACTCTTCCCGCATAGTCGACCGCAAAGGTGGAGACATTAATAACCTCATGATTTGCCATCACTTAAAGGAAGAAGAAATCCCTCTGAGTGGCCACTCTAATGCTATCACCTCTTCCAAACAAAGTATAAGCAATCCCCTTCTAGGAGTATTGAAAACAAGGGTTTTGGATTACTGAGGCTCTTACTGATGTTGAACTGTAACTCCTCTAAAACAACTCTGAGTCCGTAGATGGTCAGTCAGAGGATACCACCTAACTCTTCCACAGATAATTGATGGTTCTCATTGAAAATGAGGAATGTGAGAGTACCATAGTAGTATCTCATCTCTCTGGTCCACTTTATTCTAAATGAAACTCAAGAGTACTCAGGATCTTGAGAGTGATGCGCTCAAAATGGGGTACTTCCAAATACATGAATTCCAAAAATCCTATATTATGAAACATTCTATCAATCTAAAATTTTGAACCAAGCTCATTCATGGTGTGTTCACATATATACCTGCTTGGAGTAATCTTGCGCTTAACATGCGCCAAGTACCACTTCTCTTGAGCATTATCCTCAAAGACTGCGAATTTGGATTTCGAGCACTTCTCTTGTGAGTGATTGAATATTCACCCACTTGTTTGCCTTTGGAACTCCTTTTCGGGGGCATTTTCGGATTATGTAGAGTATGAAAACTTTGAACTTTGATTTTGAAAAAATTGTACCTGGAGTAATGATGAGGATGGAAAATAATGAATATTTTATGAACGGAGTTTGGGATTTTGGGTGGGTAAGAGGTTAAAGGTGGGAGCTTTTGGTGTGGGTTTTAATGGAGGTTATGTTTTTGTGAGAGTGTGAAGGTTAAAGAAGATGAGAGATGTTAGAGAAAGAGTGATAATGATTTGAAAAATCTGATTGAATTGGGGATTAATGTGTGTAATTTATCGTAATTAGGTATTAATGAGTGGTGGGGCCCAAGAGATAATAAAAAACATGAAGTTAAGGGATTCGCACACCTGCTTTGGGCCGTGTCAGGCACTAAGGTTGGTCGTAGTAGGGATCTGGAAAATAAATTTTTTATTGTTTGGTTCAAGGATCGTGTCATCCCCTACAGACGGTTGTAGGTGGGATATGCAATTAAGTCCATCTCACAATCTTAATCATCCAAGCATATCACAATAGTTCAACACATTGAACTATCCACCAACAATTGCAAAAAACATACATTTATCATGTTGTCATATAAACATCATTAACAATACATTTGAATAGTATTAACCATCATCACAACTCAGAAATAACATATAGCATATAAGCCAACCATGTCATTTTGAACAATCACCAAAATAAAATATACATATACTAAAATTAAGTAATCATGTATTCATCGAAACGCATCCAAAACCAATCCAAAACACGTCGAATAAATTATTAAAATTCATGTAAACTAATAATAGTTCATAAGCATCCAAACCCCTAAGCCATTCATGCATAACAAGAAATTCTGATCCTAAGAAACCACGTTAAGCGGCCTCACCAACGCTAAGTTCCCCCTACGAAAAATAGAAAAATCATTTGCGAACAATTTCTATCCAAACACGAAAATCTAAATTAAACCATGTTTTAATGTCCATTTTTCACCAAATAAATGTATTCTAGCATGTATCTATCATATAACATCTATTTGTATCACAAAAATATGATTTCCAAACATCAATTTAGGATTCTAATTTCAACCTAAGTGAATTAAAAACCTAGAAATTGAAATATTCAATCCTAGTTCATGTTACTAATCATCACCCAATCATATACTACCATAATAACATAGATTCTCACCCTTACCTTGATTGTAGCCACCTTAGGATTTTCCCCCATTCTTTTCTTCTTTTCTCTTCTTTCTCCTCTTCTCTTCTCTTCTTTTTCACAAAAATGAGGATTCTAATCTTTGTTTTCATATAACCCTTACTAACTATTGTTTCTCTTATTAGGCTTAGCAACTCATACCCCCTTATTACTTATATTTCTCATAATTAGGCCCAACTAGTTATTTCATTCATTAATACACCTAATAACTCAATTATTCAAATAACACATATATTTAAATAATTAAATAATTATCATGCCACATATTAATTAAATAAATAAATAACTAATAAAATAGCTAATGAAAATCGTGATGTTACAGTTACGACAACTAGAAAGGGTAAATTTTGTGGGTTAAAGTCAAGAGAGATGTGGTTTCTTCATTAGAACAACATATGGGTTATCGTGTGTGTATGTGTCAGCTTGCAGGTTTCCAAATTCTAGGAAACCCTGTTCCTTTAGATTCAATTCATGTATTCTGGATGAAATTGCACATTGTAGAATATTAGGTCAGTCGTGATGAGAGTAGTACAAATTGGGATTTAGAAGAAGAGTTTGAAGAATTGAAGAGATATTTCGGTATTTTGGATATTCTAGGTTAGAGGGTGTTAAAGAATAAAGTTTGTGATCTAACATATCCATCCAAGACTTCAATGTGTCTACCGCCGGTGAAGGACAAGCCACAGAGGGGAGTTAAGAATAGTAGAAAGTGTCAAGATAGTTATGTGCATCATGATCCTAGCCAGTGGAAGTATGGTGAGGCTCCACAGGAGAGTCGGACTACAAAGAGATCATGCACAAAATTAACTAGAAGTCAACTGTCAAGTAATACCGATTGGTAGCCAACTATCCATTCAAGACATGTTTACTTGTCACACTTTCATGTTTTCTTACATCCATACATCAACTACATTATTGATGTTGGTAACGATGGAAATTGTGATTTCCGTTGTATCTTTATTAGAAAGAGACAAAAAATTATAGTCTTTGGTTCAGACGTAGTTAGATGCTCAAGTTCACCAACACTCTCAATTGTTTTCCAAGTTGTTCTATGACATTGTCTCTATAATTAGGAATGTCTTACGAGTAAAACACTTGGGTGTGCAGGGTAGGAAAAAGTAGATGACGATTCTTGATATGGGTTACCCTATTGATTCTAGATACAATGTTGTATTTGTTTCCCTTTCCATGAGATTTAACATCACATTTTTCTTCTTGTCGTACCTCCACTTATGTATACTAGCATCCATAGAATCATTATTGTTAGTTTTGTCAATGATAATCACTGGGTTCAGGTAAAGTTGAAACCTTATTGTCCTTTGCCTCCCGTCATTGACCGTTGTGAGACAGAATAATACAGATGATGCAAAAGCATGAGATTCAGCATATGCGGGTCGCTTTAGACACTAGGAAGACCTGTGTAGAAAATCATATGTATGACAATTATTATATGAGTATATATTAAGTCGGTAACATTTTTACCAATTGAGTTTTTCAAGAAAATTTATGATATTTATGATATTTTTTAGTAATTACCGAAAATTTATAAATTTCCATATATTTTAACTATTAACTAGAAATATGAAATTTTTGGTCTCGAAAATTTTAAAATTTCAATAACCCCAAACCCACTACGGTTAAAAAAAACTATAATTTTAATGAAATTTCGGATGGATTTTGAAATTTCTGATATACACATACACATACACGTGATTTTCAATATTTCTAGTATTCTTTGTAAAAGCATTAAGATAAAAGTATCACAAAAAGGAGTGTCAAAAATAATTGTGGAGATGACAAGTAAAATCTTCCTCATACTACTTCTTGACCTATAACTTTTTTCAAGAATTTATCTACTAGCTGATTCTCCTACGATTTTAACTTGTGGATTTACCAGCAAATGTTACTTAAGAATTTGTGTATAGATTTTAATGTAAAAATAAATACCCATATAGATTTTAGTTGGGAACATATGTCGGTGGAAATTCTTCACGAAATGATTTCCTATGAATTATTTGCCAAAATCTGTAGAAAAATTTGATTATTTGTGATGTGCTTATATCTAACAATTCCATTTAAAAGATCTAAAATAAAGAAAATATTGAATTATAAGTACTTCCAAGTACATTATTTATTAAGATAGAATACATGTATTACATTTTTATCTACTTTTTCCAAAAGTCACAAACAGCAGAACCTGGAGCCAGAACCCTACATGGTCCTGATTTTGTAATATACCAATTGCAAGGATCACATACATGATAATCCCTGCTTGCTATGTATATGTCATAATAATGAAACCCACCATTCCATTGAAAGGAACAAAAGTATTGTGTGTGGCCAATAATGCTAATTTGAAAACTCCAACCAAAACTAGCACCATGATGAAGAAGTTGAGCTCCCAAATCAGTATCTGCAGATTTGCAGTGAATGGTTAAGTCCATATTTTGTTCTAAGTTGTTAAGAACACTCACACGCACTCCAAAACTATTGTGTGCTGATAACAATGTCAACACACATAACAAAAACATTTTTTGAGTAAATGGAGACATTTCTCTTTCAATTGATCTTTCTTTTGGAAGTGAATAATCTTTAATAAACAATGTTAAGATAATTGTTAAATGAAAAACATATATTTATAGGAGGTTTTATGAGAATATATAAAATATTATTTAAATGTATGCATTTATTGATATATTTGATATATATTATTAAATATATTATTTTGGAGTATGTAATTATAAAAAGTCATTTGTCAAAAGTAATAGTTAATGCCTTGCTATTTGAATATGGCTACCAAATTATGCAAACAATTCAAATATTTTGTTTCAAGCTTTGTAATAAAAAAATCATTATAATATACTTTCTTTACCTCATTATTAATACTATTTTTGTCTTTTACAATTAAATGGTGTATATATTTCATTTTAAAAATGAATTGTATGTCTTAAATTTTTTATTTGATAACATTATAAAGAAAATATTAAATATTTTGGCAATAACTACACAATTTAAGATTTTTAAAAAATACTAAACGTTTTTTCTTTAAAACTGTAATAAAGTATAATTTTAATTAAAAAATAAATAAAAGCAATATGAATATTTAAATATTTAAATAAATTTAAAACAAAAGGTACATATATTATTATAATAGAAGATTTAGGGCTAGTCTCGTAACACACTATAATGTGTTTTAGCCTTTTTTTTTCCTTCTAATTTTTATTTTATTTTGTTACATAACTTATTTTATTTTGACTAACTTAAATATTTTTTTAACATTAAAAAAAACAATACTACAAAAAATACATATAAGAAAAACACTTGTAATCACGGTTGACAGTCCGTTATTATTTACCGTGTGGTTGTATGTGAGTTATTTATAATTGTGGTCTATTGTCCATTGTAATAAACTGAATAACACGTTACGTACAATAATAGTTGTATTAAACCGTTGTTGTTAGATGTATTTTAATAGAATAACATAAATGAAGTAGTATGTCAAAGATTATGGTCAAAGATTATGGTCAAGGATTGTGGTTGAATAAAGTCACAATTTGTGGACTAAAGAAAGAAACACTCATGGTTTTGCACCCATGGTTTTGTGAAACAACTCTCCTGATTTTGTGAAGATGAGCACCTATAAATAGAGATGTATTTCTCATTCAAAGTACACCACAAAAATAGCATTCTAACATAACTAAGACAAAAACGTAAGAGAGAAAAGAAAATATTGTGTTCTCCTATAAGGTTCTTTTAGTGAGTGTTCTTCTATTTCAAGAGAGACGGTAATTTGTTATCTCTTTATATTTTTAGAGAAGTGTTGTAATTTCTTCCACTTAGTGAAAATATTTTCTACCGGTGTCTGTGGTTTTTCCCTTATTTGTTGAGGGTTTTCCACGTAAATATTTTTTGCCAAATTCTACTCCTTGATCTCTTATGTTAATCCTGTGATATTTATCTTGCTACTCTGATACTCAACAGTGGTATCAGAGTTGCTGGTGTCAGTCCTTATTTCTGATGTGGTGTACGGTTACTATTTACACATGTAGTTGTATACTTTTTCAGTGATTGTTAACGTATATTAGATTTATTCTAGTGTGCAATAAAAAAATATGTACAATACTACGCACTTATAATGTGTTATTCACAGTGACATTGTGTTAACTGGTTTAGTAAAAAAATGGAAGTAAAATTTGAGATTGAGAAATTCAGTAGGAGTAACTTCTCCCTCTAGGTGATCCCGAGGAAAAATAATTGCTTACCACCATTTGAAGGTGACCTGCAGATATAACTCATGAAAAGTGGAAATAGATGGATGACAATATTGTTGTCAATTTGCACTTAGCAATGGTAGATTCAGTTTTGTTAAGTATTGCAGAAAAGAAAACTGCAAAGGATATCTGTGATACTCTCATCCAACTATTCGAGGAGACTCCACTCTCTTCAAATGAGTGAATCCACATACGTACTAGATTACATCAACAATTTGAACACATTTCTTGCTCAGCTATTTGCATCAGATTTCATAATAGTTGAAAATGAACGAGCAAAGCTTCTTTTTCAGAGCTTACCAGATATGTATGATTAACTCATCATAAATATTACAAACAATAATATTGTTGACCATATATCCTTTAATGATGTCCTCAGAGCTAATCTTGAAGAAAAATACAGGTGTAAAAATAAAGAAGATCGACAGGAAAGCTCAAAAAAATAAAAGCTTTGATGATTACAAGAGGTAGATCAATATAACATGACCCCGGTGAGAGTTAAAATCATGGTACATCAAAATATCGAAGAAGTATAAACTTCAAAGGCTACAATTATGGCAGGAACTTGATGAAAGAATTTTTCTTCAACAAGAAGAATGGTCATAAGTTTTCCTGAAGTAAGTACATCTCAATAATGTATTTCTAGTACCTCTAATGATGGAGAAATCATTTACAGCGGAGGAACAGTTAGTACCAAAGGAGAAAATCAACTTACTGATAGATGTATAGTAGACTAAGGAGCAACATGTCGCGTCACTCCACAACGAGATTGGTTTTGCACTTATGAACCTATCTCAGAAGGAAATGTATTGATGGGGAATGATCATGTTTTGGAAATTGCTGGAGTGTGTACTGTCAAAATGAAAATGTATGATGGTATTATTCACACGCTTCAATGGGTACGACATATGGAAGGATCGATGAATAATTTTTTGTCTATTGGGCAACTAGATGACCTTGGATACAAGACCCGTGTTCAAAATGATATCTTGAAAGTGGTGAAAGGTTCGCTAGTAGTGATGAAAGAAGAGAAGGTCGCTACAAATCTATACATGGTTTTGGGAGATACGTTGAAAATGACATATGCATTAGTTATAGTTGGAAGCCATGAAGAAACAATAATGATATGGCATCATAGATTAGGCCATATGTCAAAATGAGGCTTGAAAGTTCTTGTAGAACGTAATCTCATACTCGGGCTCAAGTCGGTAAATTTACCTTCCTTTGAGCATCGTGTGATAAGAAAACAACATAGAATAAAGTTTTCTAAGTCAACTGCTATAAGCTAACACATACTAGAGTTGATTCAATCTGATGTGTGGGAGTCACCGGAAATGTCCATTGGAGGAGCAAAATATTTTGTAGCATTCATTGATGATTACTTCAGGAGGGTGTAACAGCCCGAATTTAATTAATTAGTTAATTAAATTAAATAAGGATTAATTATTTAATTTAGATGAAGATTGGTAATTAATCAGATCGTCGGTATCGTTTGAGAAGTGCTATCGGATTATCAAACAGAGTTGAATTTTATTCAGTTAACCGGAGATTTAATGCGAGTCAGTTATCGGAGCAATAATATTAGAAATAATATTATTATTAGAATTTGACCGTTTGAAATAAAGTCGGATTTAATCGGTTTGACCGGGAAATAGTATTCGATATAATAATATTTATCTTGATAAATTATATTTACTTAATCGGTAGTATACTACTCGGCCGGTATGTGATTTCCAATAGTTTTAATTAATATTATTTATATTATTATTTTCTAAAAATGATCGATTGATATTTATTTTGGTCAATTGATAATTATTTAGTCGGTTATTCGGTCCGGTAGTTGTTACATTGGTTTCTTCGGTTTATCGGAAAATGATTATTTTTATAAGATAATATCGTGTTTTGGTATATATAAAGATTTAGTTTAATTAAATAATATAATTTAGTTTTAATAAATAAAATAAACTATATATATATATATATATATATATATATATATATATATATATATATATATATATATATATATATATATATATATATATATATATATATATATATATATATATATATATATATATATATATATATATATATATATATATATATATATATATATATATATATATATATATATATATATATATAAAAGTTAGTTTTATATTATATAATAAACTAATATATTAGTGTTATATATTATAATAAGTAGTGGTAGTAGTAGTTGAAGAAAAAGATAGAAAAATTAGAAAGAGAGGAATAGGGATAGAGAAGAAGAAGAGGAGAAAAAGAGGAGAAAACCTAAGGTTTGGGAGAAGGGGAAAAGTTGCCGGAATCAACAGAAAAGCTCGTTCCGGAGACTAATCGGTAAGGGTTAGACTTCCTCTAAATATCTTGTATGTTTTTATTGTATTTGATTTCGGTTTAGGATTTCGGTTAGAATAGAGAAGAAAATATTCTGAGATTGTTCTGTGTTATTGTTGTAATGGAAAAGTTTTCCAACTAATGAAAAATCAGTGTAGTAGAGTGATTTCTTTCCATAAACTTATCACTATTTTTAAAATCAATATAATATTAGCCGGTTTAGACGGTAAAATTAGTTATCTGGAAATTAATGAAATTTGACGGGGTAACTAAGTTAAATGCGTAGGTAATTATGGTTGAGTTATTTTCGAGATTGCGACGTTTTCGGAGACCGGTCGGAATTGTGTTTGTTTCGAATTAGCCGGTTTAGACGGTAAAACTATTTATCCGGAAATTAATGAAATTTGACGGGGTAACTAAGTTAAACGCGTAGGTAATTATGGTTGAGTTATTTTTCGATATTGTGACATTCTCGGAGACCAATCGGAATTGTGTTTGTTTCAAATTAGCCGGTTTAGACGGTAAAATTAGTTATCCGGAAATTAATGAAATTTGACGGGGTAACTAAGTTAAACGCGTAGGTAATTATGGTTGAGTTATTTTTCGAGATTGCGACGTTTTCGGAGACCGATCAAAATTGTATTTGTTTTGAATATATTTATGAAGTAACTTGTTTAAACTTGTATGTTACTTGATGTGTAAATATAATTGCAATTCATGTATAATTGTTGGTATTTCATTGTGTTGGAATATGTGGTATGTGTATGTTAAGGTCGGGAGTGGTCTTAATTGCATACAAGTGGTCAATTGTACATTGCATGACAAGGTTGGTCTTGAAACATAGACGGTGAAATGGTGGATTCACATTTTATAGACGTTGATCCTTAATTGGAAATAGGTGTAGAGGCTTTGATCCTATG